CGAAAAGAGCTTGGATACTAAATGATAAAAGTGTTGAACTAAAACCAAATAACAAATCAGCCCTTTTTGCAGCACTTAATCAAGTGATAAAGATAAGTTTTAAGAATTCTAATACCGTTCTTGTTTCAAGTTGCAGCTTTGTGTACTTTGCATGTTGTTAAGGAGTGGAAGAGTTATTGGAGAAACAATTGAGCTAGGTTACAATCACCAGGTAAGTGTGGCTGGACTTGACTCTTTTAATTTCCAAACGTGTGAAGCTGTCCTTGAGTCTGGTTGTGAAGTTTCCAATGTGTTTGTTGCTGATTCTGAATCTGATTTTGAGACAATATTTGGAAACCTTTTTGAAGTCAAACCTGAACAAAAAATGGCTACTTTGAAAGAACTTGCTGCCCCTGATTTAAATGTTCAACCTTTGGCTATTACTTACACTGAATTGGAAAAACCTTTAAAGCTGAATTCTGGGTTTATAAATCTTCTGCCTAAGTTTCATGGTCTTCCTGGAGAGGATCCCTTCAGAAACATCTCTGAATTTCTGATTACATGCGGTGCTATGGTGCCTGAAGGGGTCGCTCAAGACCAAATTAGGTTGAGAGCTTTTCCTTTTTCCTTACGTGATAAAGCTAAATATTGGTTGTATTATATGCCTGCTGGTTCTTTTACAACATGGAATGCTTTACATAAGGCTTTCTTAGAGAAATACTTCCCAGCCTCTAGGATAGGGTCTATTAGGAAGGATATCTGTGGGGTCAAACAAATGATAGGTGAAAATTTTTCTGAATATTGGGAGAGATTTAACAAGCTTTGTGCTTCATGCTCACAACATCAAATTTCTGAAGAATTGTTGATTCAATATTTTTATGAAGGACTCCTCCCCACTGATAGGAATAATGTTGATGCTGCAAGTGGAGGAGCCCTTGTTAACAAAACCCCTACTCAAGCTAGGGAGCTTTTTAACTTGATTGCTCAAAACACCCAACAATTTGGAACAAGAGAGACACTGGTTAAAAAGGACAATGAACTTGAAAGTAAATCAATTGAACAAAAGCTTTCTGAACTCACCTTTATGATGTCAAAACTTGTTTCTGGGGGTGGGAATGTTAGGGGAATCCATTGTGGAGTGTGTTGTCTAGAAGGGCATGCAACTGATGCTTGTCCAACCCTTCAAAATCCTGAAGTCAATGCTGTTTTTTATAATAATCAACAAAGAAAATATGATCCATATTCAAATTCTTATAATGAGGGCTGGAAGGATCATCCAAATCTCAGATATGGCCCTCCACAAAACAATACTCAGAATTTTAATCAAGCAAATAGAGGAAATCTGAATTTAAATCATCAACCTAGCCAAGATAGAAGTGCCCAGATGCTTGAACAAATTCTCAAGAAAATGGATGACAAGTTTTCAAGTTTTGATTCAACTCTTAAACAAGTTCAAGAAAAACAAACAGCTACTGATGTGATAATAAGCAACTTGCAGGCTCAAATGAATCAAAGAATCCCTTCTCAGCCTTTTCCAAATCCAAAAGAAAACATAAGTGCTGTGGTTTTAAGGAATAAGAAACAATTGCCTGAACCTAAGGGTAGGGATAAGTTTGAGAGTGAGAAAGAAGTACCTAAAGTTGTGAATCTTGAGTTAGATGAGGCTACTGTTCCAAACTGCAGTTCTCATGGGGCTGAAACAGTGGGAGAAACACCTGGGAATGACACCCCAGTTCAAGGGGAAAGGGTAGAAGACATGGTCAGACCTAAAGCTCCCTTCCCGAGTAAGTTCCTTAGCCAAAAACCTAGGAATAAAGACTTAGATCATGAACTTTTAGATACCTTTAAGAAGGTAGAGATCAATTTGCCCCTCTTAGAAGCCATCAAACAAGTGCCTAAATATGCAAAATTCTTAAAAGAGCTGTGCACTAATAAGAAAAGACTTTCGGGGAATGAAAAAATCCAAATGAGCGAAAATGTTAGTGCTGTTTTTCAAAATAAAATGCCTCAAAAATGCAAAGATCCTGGGGTTTTTTCTATACCTTGTCAAATAGGGAGTCTTAAATTTGATAGGGCAATGCTTGATTTAGGTTCTTCTATAAATGTAATGCCAAAAGATGTTTTTGAACAACTACACATAAGAGATCTTAAGAGAACAGGAGTGGTAATCCAATTGGCAGATAGAAGTTACACTTATCCTGAGGGGATTTTGGAAGATGTTTTAGTCCAAGTAAATGATTTTGTTTTCCCTGCTGATTTCTATATTCTGGATATGAGAACAGATAAAACCGACATTCCCATTCTCTTGGGAAGACCATTTTTGAAAACTGCAAGAGCTAAAATTGATGTCCACGGTGGGACTTTAACAATGGAATTTGATGGAGAAATAATAAACTTTAATCTTTTTCAAGCAATCAAGTATCCAGATGAAGGTGACCAAGTTTTTTCAATAAATCTGATTGACGAGTTAGTCGAAGAGGTTTTTATTTTAAATAAGGAGGATGAACTTTTAACTGTTTTGACTGAGAGTCTTGATCCTATTTTTCTTCAAAATCATGGTTTTAATACTCCTGATGAGGTATATTTTTATGCTGAAAATCTATCCACTTTTGAAGAAGTAAAATCAGCCTTACAACTCACTTTACCAATTAAAACCACCAAAACAGCTCCTTCTTTAATTTCTCCACCTGAATTGACTTTAAAAGAACTCCCCGATCACCTCAAATATGCTTTTTTAGGCCCTAATAACACCCTGCCAGTGATAATTTCCAGTCTTTTAACAGAAGCACA